GTGGAAACATTCTGCTTTGTGAGATGTTTTTCTGCTAAGGGGACAGCACCGCATCAAAGGGACAATGGACGGGGCAATGTACTATCAAATCTTGGGTGAGATCCTTCTTCCCTCAGCCAGGGCATTGAAAATGGAACGTGGATGGGTGTTCCAGCATGACAATGACCCAAAACACACAGCCAAGGCAACAAGAGTGGTTGTAGAAGAAGCATATTAAGATCCTGGAGTGGCCTAGCCAGTCTCCAGACCTTAATCCAATTGAAAATCTGTGGAGGCGGCTGAAAGTTTGAGTTGCCAAACATCATCCACCAAACCTTAATGACCTGGAGAGGATCTGCCAAGAGGAGTGGGCCAAAATCCCTCCCTGTGATGTGTGAAAACATGGTGGCCAACTACAGGAAACATCTGTGATTGCCAACAAGGGATTTGCCACCAAGTACCAAGTCATGTTTTGTGAAGGGGATCAAATACTTATTTCCCTCATGAACATGCAAATCAGTGCATAATTTGTTAGACATGCATTTCTTTTGAATTTTTTTGTTGCTATTCTGTCTGTTACAATATACCTACCATGCGATTTTTAGACTGATCATTTCTTTGTGAGTGGGCAAACATTCAAAATCAGCAGGGGATCAAAGACATATTTCCTTCACTGTACATACCCTCAAATCCAGAACTTCCAGATGAGGATGGATGTAGTTCCCCTGGATGAGCAGATTCTGCAGCTTTGGGAGAACTAGAGGTTTGCAGAGAGGGTCAAGAGCGTGAACCATGGCCTCTTTGTCCAGGAGGGACTTGCCGCTAGAACGGTCACTTTTTTTTTTTTTCCACCAGGTGTTGAAGGAATCTCAAGATCAGAGGAACTGGGGGAAAGCCATACCCCCTCTTGAAAATCCATGGTTGGGCTAGAGCATCCACTCCCGCGGACTCCTGGGAAGTATATCTCGTGAAAAACAGGGGTGTCTTGGCGTTCAGTGGGGATGCAAAAATATCTATCTGAGGGTGACCCCACTTCTAACAGATCCGCTAGAATACTTACTAATTTAGAGACCACTCATCGTTTTTGGCAGCGTCTCTGGAAAGAAGGTCCACTAGTAGATTCTGAAACCAGGTTCCCCTCTTCTCTAGATAAGATCAGGGCTACTTCTTTCAACAAAGATCTGCTGTGTTTTCTGCACTGGTTCTGAAAATAGGCCACTGCTACCCTGTTGTCTCACTGCAGCAAGAGTAACTTCCCTCTGAGATGAGGGGCCAAGTGGGAAATGGCCATCCAAGCAGCTCTCAGTTCCAGGATGTTGAAAACTGTATTTGATGTGTTGAATCATTCTGCAATTGCACTGGGCGCTCCAACCCAACCGACCCGACTGGGTATAGGGTTATAACCTTTTTTTTTTTTTTTTTATGGTCGAACTGGATGGACTTTTGTTTTTTTTCAGCCAGACTAACTGTGACTTGCGTCAAATGTAAGAATGATCCAGGAGGAGGGGGTCAAGGTGGCAGTAGTTTTGAAGGTTTTGTGATCTTGTCCATTATCACAGACTAGACTTAATTTCCAGAGTTATAATCTGCTGTGACCAAGAATTCTTCCTGCATTGGGATAAAACCCCATGTTAGAATGTTCGATGATGCCAGCGAGTCCACTTCACCATCCGAATTCAGGAGGAAAGAAACCTCGGAGACTTAGCCATTCTGATTCACTCTGTATCATCACTAGTATGTGCTCTGGTGGAAGTGATACTGACTGTCCCTGGATGTCGAATAGGACTCCGAGATATACCATCCATTTGCATTGGAATAAACTGGCTTTTGGTGAGGTTGATCAGCCATTCAAAACAGATTACAGTATTCATGATTTCGTGGTGATGGATCCTCGGTCTCTGTTCTGAGACAGGATTAGAATGTCGTTCAAATAATGTTGTACATGAATTTCCCTCTCCCGAAGGGGAGTTAAGATTGCTACTAGAACCTTTTTGAAGGTTCTGAGCACCATCGAAATGCTGAAAGGTGGACACTGGAACTGCAGGTCCAATTTGTCCACTTTGAATCTTGGATAAGATTGGAAGTTGCGATGGACTGGTATGTGCAGATAAGCATCTTGGAGGTTTATAGAGACCATCCTATCCCCAGGCTGGATGGCTAGGGTGACTGTATTGAGAGATTCCATTTTAAAATGTTCTAAGAGGAAGAATCTGTTTAGCCTTTTCAAGTCTTCAACCTCCCCACTTCTTGTGCACTAGAAATGCCAGGGAATAAAAGCCAGAGAATTTCTCTGACTTTGGAACTGGAATCACCGCCTGTTGAATGAAAATCTAAACATACTGGCTTAGCGCATTAGCTTTTCCTGGGGTGGACAAAGCCTGAAATTCCAGAAATGGCCTTGCTGGATCGTGGAGACCACCCACTGATCTGTACAATCCTCCACTAAAACCCGAGTGAATGGTCTGAGGCGAGCAGAGCACCCACCGGACTGACTTGGGTGCGCATGAAATAAAAATGATTTTTGTTTTTCCTGCATAGAGGATGATGCCTTCAACTTTTTCATTTTTAAAACCGTGGCCTGTGAACTTTTCTAGCCCCTCTTGTATTCTCTGCCAGGCCAATATGTTTTTGCTGGAATGCGGCTCTTGACGCCAACTTTCTCCTATTTCTGTCTTTGGATATAAGGCCACTCTTCCCTCCAGTGACTCTAATGATTACAGTGTCCCGTTTTTTGCCAAATAGTGCCTTGCCATCATGGGGTATACGACCCCAGGTTTGTTTTGAAGAGAGGTCTATGACCTTAGTCCTGGCTTCCTTCTTCCTGTGGTAGAGTATAACATCGATCTAGCAGAGCACTTCAGAATATCCTATGGCAGCTTCTGCAACAAAATCTGAGGCTAGCGTCAGTTCATCCAAGGCCTTGATGATCTGATCCAAGTCTATACCTTGTCTAAGGGCCAACTCTGGTTGCTCTTAGTACTGAGCTCAGAGCCACTGTCAGGAATGGACTGGCCAGCAATGGTGGGACTCACCTGCCTTTTGATCTGCAGTACCAGGGCTGGTCAGCGGATGCTCCCAGCAATCAGAGACTCAACTTTGCAGCCAGCTAACACCTGGAACTGATTATGCTGGGGTATTTAAGGGATGGCCAGACCCACAGACTCGGCCTTGGTGTTGTGTTTGTCCTGGGCCCTGTATCCTGTGTCTGTCCTGCATCCTGTTTCTGAACCGCTGCTGACTTCTCCTGCTCTGATCCCGGCTCGCTCCTGACCATCCCTCTGCCTGACCCTCTGTACCACGCTGCTTGCTACCTGTTCTGATCCCTGGCTTGTGACCCTGACCATCCCTCTGCCTGACCCTCTGTACTACGCTGCTTGCTACCTGCTGAACCTGGCCTGTGACCCCGATCAATCTCCGCTTGCTCCCCCTGTACCTACCTGCCCTATTGATATTGACCCGGCCTGCCTGACGACGCTTGCTTGTATGTACTGTTATCTGTGGGTGGTTGGTTTGGTTTGGTTGCACTGTATTATGTTTTAATATTGCACTGCGTTTATGTTTGTATTGTTAGTGTTAATAAATTATATTGTTTATAACATATCTGAGGTCTGCGTTTCCCTGCGTCAGCTACACACCTCTGGTCACACCTGGGAGCCCTGACAGCCACAGCTGGCTTGCAGGCTCTCCCTGCCTCTTGATTATGTCTTCTTCAGACCACATTCTCTAAAGGTAGAGTTCTATTCCAGGCCAACTTAATGATCGAGTCATCCACTGTAGGCATGGAATCAAACAGCTGGGTGTCTGTATCCGCTAAGGAATATAGTCTGTGGAATCTATTATGAGCAATCAGTTTGTTTTACACTTTTTCCTCTCATCCAACACAAAGACTTTAATTTCCTCCATCAGCAGGAATGTTGGAGATTTCTCCTTTAAATAAGGAAAATACCTCTCTAAGGGACCGCCTGACAGCACCTCTATCAGTCCCCCGGTAGAGCCTCCCCAGCGTGCGGAGTCTAAGCACCGGAGCACTTGTTCACCAGGGCCCCTGATGGTGGGGATGGACTTGGAGTGCTCCGGTACCAGGTCGCAACTACCAGGTATCTCCAACAGGGGTAGAGGAGTCTGACAGGGGCTCCAGGGAGCTAGGAGTCTGATGTAAGGGAGCCTAGTGATCCAACCTCCTAGAGGACAACCTCCTAGACTTAAGAGGTTCCATGGTCTCTTCCTGTTTGTATTGCTTCCTTTACTACAACTACGAAAAGCTCAACTATTGCAAAATCAAAGGAGGTGGGACTTTCTTCTGAGGTGTTCTCCTCTCCCTCAGAACTTGCGTCAGAGTTCACTTGATGTATGGGTGTATCATCAACAGGCTTCTCACTTGAAGATGGGCTGCCTGTGGCATGAGAGAGTGCTAATTCCCTAATCGAGTCCTTGATCAATTTCTTCATGGTGTCTGTTGACTCTTGTTTCTCTTTCTCCTTATCCCTGGTGACTTCACATGACTCGCACACCAACCTCTCAGGGAGGGCTTCCTGTCCGCAGACCCTTTAAACTTTATCTCCCAGATGAAAGGAAATGCGTGGCGGACTGAAATGTCCTAGAGGTATGAGATGACTTCTACAATCTGTGTGATGAGTGAGAAGACCACTGCTTATGTCTCGATCTGCCTTGACTGTCCAATCTTCTGCAGGGTGAATAGTGGTGCAGGCTGCAAAAAGTGTTCCATCAAGCTTGCCCAATGCGCTTTTTATTTTTTTATTTTTTTCTGGCTGGGCTTCATCATGAGCGTACTGGAGGGGCAGAGTGGTACCAGGAATAGTACATACAGTTCCTGATATGAGGCAAGCCACCTTCATACTGTAATGCTGGAAGTGGTATGTATATACACTATATATTGCCAAAAGTCTTGGAACACCCCTCCAAATCATTGGATTCAGGTGTTCCAATCGCCTCCATGGCCACAGGTGTATAAAATCAAGCACTTTGGCATGCGGACTGCTTCTACAAACATTTGTGAAAGAATGGGTCGCTCTCAGGAGCTCAATGAACTCTAACGTAGTACCGTGATAGGTTGCCACCTGTGCAGTAAGTCCATCCGTGACATTTCCTTGCTAATAAAGGTCAACTGTTAGTGGTATTATAACAAAGTGGAAGCAACTGGGAACAACAGCAACTCAGCCACAAAGTGATAGGCCATGTAAAATGACAGAACAGGGTCTGTGCACAGAAGTCGCAAACTGTCTCCAGAGTCAATAACTAAAAACCTCCAAACTTTATGTGGCTTTCAGATTACCACAAGAGTGCATAGAGCGCTTCATGGAATGGGTTTCCATGGCCGAGCAGATGCATCCAAGCATTGCATCACCAAGTGCAATGCAAAGTGTCAGATGCAGTGGTGTAAAGCACCCCGCCACCAGACTCTAGAGCAGTGGAGATGTGTTCTCTAGAGTGATGAATCATGCTTTTCTGGCAATCCGATGGACATGTCTGGGTTTGGCGGTTGTCAGGAGAACGGTACTTGCCTGACTGCCTTGTGCTAATTGTAATGTTTTTGGTGGAGGGGGGGATTATGGTGTTGGGTTATTTTTCAGGGGTTTGGCTTGGCCCCTTAGTTCCAGTGAAGATAACTCTAAAGGTATCAGCATACCAAGACAATTTGGACAATTTCATGCTCCCAACTTTGTGGGAAGAGTTTGGGGATGGCCCCTTCCTGTTCCAACATGACTGTGCACCAGTGCACAAAGCAAGGTCCATAAAGACATGGATGAGCGAGTTTGGGGTGGAGGAACTTGACTGGCCTGACCTCAACCCGATAGAACACCTTTGGGATGAATTAGAGCAGAGACTGAGAGCCAGGCCTTCTCGTCCGACATCAGTGCCTGACCTCAAAAATTAGTTTCTGGAAGACTGATCAAACATTCCCATGGACACACTCCTAAACCTTGTGGACAGCTTTCCCAGAAGAGCTGAAGCTGTTATAGCTGCAAGGGGTGGGCCAACTCAATAATGAACCCTACAGACTAAGACCGGGATGTTATTAAAGTTCATGTGCGTGTAAAGGCAGGTGTTGCAATACTTTAGGCAATATACTGTGCTTGCGTGATGACGTTATCACGTCTTCTCTTGGGCCGCCCCCCACCGGTGGAAAAGCCGGACTTAGCCGGTGAGCAAAGCACCGCAAGCATCTAGAGGAGGAAGGCATGTTGATGAGAAGGTCCCTGTGGTTGCTCATGGTGGTATGACGGTGATGGTCGTGGCCCTCTGCTCCCGGTGACATTTTCCAGATCTAGACAGTAGCCAAGAGGTGACAGCACACATAGGAAGAGCGAAGGAAGGAGAGAGAGCTTGTCTCCTGTGATCTCCCTTTTGCCCCCAAAAAGACCCACAGAAAATTAGGGTCTCCCCTACTCATTGGCGCATTTAGCAGCCCATGTAGCAGGACCTCACTACAGGAGAGCTTGAACCTGTAATGGCTACACCAAGACGGTGTGGTAGCGGATGATATGCGTGATCTTGCAGGCTTGGGGAGAGAAAATAGAATGGAGTCCAGTCTTTCTTTTAAAGAGTTAATGTGGTCCTGTGGGTTGGTTGTGGGCGGATCAACCAACCACAGGTACGCGGCCATGTAGGCACCAGGAAAAAACAATACCAAAAACCTTCCTGCAGATACAGCCATAATCCTGGTAAAACTGCTTTCCATTCATACCGTGTGTGTATAAATGTATATGTATGCTGGATGGGAAGTGGTAAAATTAAAAGAATCAGTGACAGTTTCTGCTTTGATCTGTGCTGGACTTCTGTTTGACATCTGTACCAGATCTTGCACATGCACTGGATGAGATCTGGTGCTGCTTGGTATTATTTAAAAACAAGTTGCAAGATCATGTGGTGCATGATATGCAGAAAAAAGGGGTCATGTGATTGTGCTAGATCTTTAGCACTTTACGCAGAAGTAGCTAGATCTATGCTGTCCACTGGGGGCTCTAATCGAGGGGTAATCTGTACTTATTAAATGGAATCTGTGGCAATGAGAGAGGTGCTGGGTCCCTAGACCAGTGGTCGGCAAGCCGCGGCTCGCGAGCCACATGCGGCTCTTTACACGCTTTAATGCGGCTCTTGTGTGCCGGGCGCCCGCTCCCCTCCCTCCTCTCGGGCGGCAGGGACTCTGCAGCGTGATCCAAAAAAAAAAAAAACAGCCAGGGCAGCGCGCTCAAATGCAGTGATTGGCCAGTCTCGCTGCCACTCACATCCTGATAGCCAGTGATTGGCTGTCAGGATGTGTGTAGGCGGGGCAGCATGACGAACGTGAGAGGAGCTAGGCTCCTCTCACAGTCCGCCCTGAAGACCGGAACGGCGCGGGAACACGGCGAGGAACGCGCGGAGCAAAGGTAAGTGAATTGACACAGGGGGGACTTGGCTTACTACTTGCTACTTACTTACTACTACTATATGAGGGATGAATTACTATAGGGGGGATGAATTACTATAGGGGGGATGAATTACTATGGGGGATGAATTACTATAGGGGGGATGAATTACTATAGGGGGGATGAATTACTATAGGGGGGATGAATTACTATATGGGGGGTGAATTACTATATGGGGATGAATTACTATATGGGGGACGAATTACTATAAAAAACTTATTGAAACTAAAAACAGTGTACCATCCTATGTATTTTCAGTTTTAAAAATGTGGCTCTCAAAATAAATTTCAATCGTGGTTTTTGGCGAGATTTGGCTCAGTTGAAAAAAAAGGTTACCCACCACTGCCCTAGACTATCCTGATCCCGGCTTCCCTATTTGGTGCACCACTGACTAGGAATTCCATGGAAATGTTCTCAGGCCTATGTAGAGGTGTGCATTCTCGCAGGATTGCCAGTGATGTCATCCACAAGTTTGAAGTATATTTTTGTGTGTGTGTGTGTGTGTGTGTGTGTGTGTGTGTGTGTATTATAAAAAATATTTTTTTTGCTTTGCATAGTCACATTTGGTCCATTGCTTACCTGGCTGATCCCTGTGTAATTGGAGAATCACTGTAGTGGCTACAGCTACCACAGTAATCCATGCTGTCTTTTGGGTCACATGCCACATGGTTGCCCTGCTGTTTAGTAACCACGGGGGTCACTTGATTGGCACAGGCGACAGAGAATGCTTTGTTTTTCTCAATGAATGTAATGCTTTTTTTGACTGGATGAGGTGGAGAGGCACGGGGCAGCAGTGTCACAATCTCTATCTGCTTAATCACAGAACACCTTGCATTCATTAAGAAAAATGAAAAGCATTTTCTGATGGCACCCATGCATATTCTCTGTGGTCACTATGCAGCACGGCAGAAGCAGGATTCGGCAAAGGGCAAGGGTTGCTGTTTTTTGGTGGTGTCTACTATAGTGATCCTCCTCTTCCATAAGGATTGACCAGGTATGGTATATGCATACTTGCATTATTCCAATCTGGGCCAGTGTAACTATACAAAAAAAATACCTGGAATTCAGCTTTATGTTTTGAGAAGTTACAGAATATAGCATAAACATAACTGGTCCCAAATGTACTCTTGTGTAAAGGACCAGGCATTTAAAGAATGTGTATTGAGGGTAGAAATGGTGAGGTTGGGAGGTGACACTGAATTGAGGGAGTAAGAAGAAGACCAAGTCCTACGGAGCTTTGCTGGAGTGCTTTGGACCATGCATTTAAAGTGTTACTAAATCCACAACAGTAAAATCAGTCTGTATACGCAGTAAAGCATGCTTTTTATACTCACTGTAGAACCTAAGGGGTTAATCCTCTGCATTGTGTAAAAAAAAAATTTGATCCCGTCTTCTCTGATCCTCCCTTTTTTCCACAGTCCCCAATCCATCTGCTGATAGAACAGAGCCTTGGGGGCAAGCTGCACATGCTCAGTTTGGTGTGTATTGCTAGAGAGTCACCTGTGAAACTGTGTATTTATCTTCTTTCCCCACCCTTCCTCTAGCCTTTACCCATACTCCCATTTCCTGAAATGTGTTTTTTTGCGTAATTTTCCCCTTTCGTCTTTCAGGATAGCACCTTGAGAGACCTCGGCTCTTCCTCACCTGAGGAAACACCTTCACCCAAAATGAAAAAGCTCTCCACTCCCCTCCGACCGCAGTTCAGGTGTTTCCTCCGGTGGGGAGACACGTAAGGAAGCTGAAGGTGCTGTCAGGGGATAGTCAGGTCCGAGTCAGGGTCAGAGAGCCGGCTGAGAGACTCAGGGCAGCAGGGAATGAAGGTCGGAGTGTCCGACTGCGATCCTCCCCGGGCCTGCTGCCTTTGCAGTGAGCGTGCACCCTGGGAGACAGGGAGCAGCACGTACCTGCTCTTCGCCCCCCCCTCCGGTGAGTTGCGGGACGTCGGGGCGGCGCAGTGGGATCTGGTGAGGATCGGGGAGGAGTTCCGCTCCTTCCCATGCCAGCAGTTAGTGGAGCTTGCCGGGCCGGATGTCGGGTGACAGCAGTTCCGGCGGAGGGGGCGGGGCTTCTCCCAGGGTCGCGGCTTCCACTTCCGGCCGTGGCCCTAGACACTGCAGCGCGCGATTCAAATGGCGGTGTGGAGCGGAACAGCCTGGGGGACAGGTTACCACATCAGGCGACCACCCTCCTGGGAAGATGTCGGGAGCGGATGCACTGGGACCAGGGGAAGCCAGCACCAGCGAGTCTCAGGTAAGGTGACTCAGAGGAGTCCTACCCTACCTGGTGGCCCCTAGCTCCTGTGGTTTTCCTGGACCCTCGGGTGGTGAGGGTCTTTTAGGCAGGGGGAGGGTCCTGGCGGGGGGTGTCAGGCCCTGCCGGGGAAGTAGAGGGGGGGGGGGGCAGGGGAGTTGGTGGCGGTTGGGTGATAGGCTCATCTTTCTGCTCCTTTTGTCTTTCAGGGCAAGGCCCGGGAGAAGCTAAAACATCAGGAGCCTAAATGCAGATGCCCGTCCTGCAAGTCAGTTTTAAGGGAATCATGGAAAAATGTTCTATGCGGCCCTTGCATCGAAGGGTTAGTGAAGGAGGAGAGGCCATAACAGGGTGACTTGGTCAGATCAGTGAAGGAGTTGACCAGTACCTTCGACTCTTTCAAGAGTCTAATAGAAAGGTTGGCCGTTCCCCAGACAGCCCCTTGTCGTCCCCCCCCCCCCCCCCGGTGGCCTCAGCCAGTCGGAGCAGGGAACCCCTCGTTACAGGGGAGGACGAGGAACCCTCAGTGGATTCCCAGTCGGAAGAGGAGTCAGCAGGGGAGGGTCCCTCAGATGAGTGCAGGGGCCCGTCCCGGTACAAGTTATCCCTGGAGGAGGTAGATGACCTCCTAGGGACCATATACGAAACGTTAGACATGAAGGAGGAAGTTAAGACCTTGTCCTTACATGATCAGATGTACCAGGGGTTGGAGGAACAAAAACATAGAGTTTTCCTGGTACACAAGATCTTAGTAGATACCATCAGGAAAGAGTGGCAGGACCCGGAAAGGAAGCCCTTCTTTTCTAGAGCTCTTAGGAGGAGGTTTCCGTTTAGTGAGGATCCCGGGGCCTTGTGGAATAAAAACCCCAAGCTCGACGCAGCCTTTTCACAGACAGCGAGGAAAACGGACCTGGCGTTTGAGGATATGGGGGTCTTGCCAGATTTGTTTGACAGGAGAGCGGAATCCCTCCTTAAAAAGGCTTGGGATTCAACCCTGTCAAATCTGAAACCTGCCATGGCCACAACTGTTATA